CCCTGCTTCGAAGCAAGAAATCTTCGCGGCTTCAGCTCCGCCTCCAAGTTACTACCCTAATTTCTGCTGATTGGAACAATTCGAATTTAGGGAGTTAACCATAATTCTCACTGCTCCAATCACATAACTTTAATTTGGGACTTTGGACCTTAAAGTCCTAACGTCGTTTTAGACAGCTGCCTGAAAAATTATACCAGTAGCGTGGGTTGCTGGCCTTCCCACTTTTGACTTATGGGGTTCAAAACTTGTCAAGTGTAACTTTACCAAAGGATCCCGCCGGTCCACTTTCGAACTGAATTTCCAGGAAAACTCTGCGGGGTGCTTCCTGTCTGGTCTTTGTAGCAGTGAAGCAGGCCCTATTCTTGAAACCAAGAATCGGGCTAAGTCACCCTTGAGTGTTCCTTGCTACATCTTGTGTATAATTACTCTAAAAAGAAATATTGATTACAAATAAAGATGGTGGTGTCAGTGGTACGGCTACAGGTGACAACCTCACTGCCATCTGTGAGCCGATTTTATAGAAAGTGTGGGAGCTTCGACGTCTCACAAACCTATGAGCCTACACCGCCGGTTACAGGGATAGCTTTACTTTTTTACCTTACTATTCGCAAATTAATTTGCCGGGACATTCTTGAAGATAAGAACTCTTGACGTGTTCATTACTTCTATCACATATTTCGAACTTATAAGATCATAATTAGGTAGATATTTTTAGATAATTGCTGAATTATGTTGTTTTTTTAGTTGGTTGCACGGAAACTTGGTTAAAACTGATTCCAATTATTGCTAAAATAGTAATACAGAGCAGGAATTACGTAGAATTATCTATGTGATGATGACATTGTAAGACCTGAACATTTCGTAGAAATAGCATATATAAAAAATGTGACAAAATAGAACGCCAACAGTCGATGTGCACGACAAGAAATGGCGCCTTCTGGAATTCTCCTGCAAATTAAATCGTTAACCAGTGCACGTCGGATGATGAGAAATAATATGTTAGCGCCTGACCAACCCTGTCGCCCCCGCATATGCGCCTACACATAAGTAAACAACAAATTCGAAGAGGGTTCTATTTCAGAAGGCAATAGTCGCTCGTTTAGTCAAGAGCATATCAACATTTTATGGAAAACGAAGTTTAATTTCCGTTTCGTAAGAGTTCGTTACTGTTCCCTATCCTGAGTCAGATGAATTCAGTCTTCATCCTCACGTCCTGTTTTTCTGAAACCCATTTTACTGTTGCAAGAACCTCATAATTTTCACAAGCCCCAAAATAATATTGTTCTTCCTCTCGCTGCCGCTATGGTCCGTAGGGCTGATTTCTCAGTTTCACTGATCATTTTTTACAGACGGCAGGACTCCTTGGACGGGTGATCAGCTCGTTCTAAGGCATCTATCTAAACACAGGACAACACAAACACAGATTAAACGCATACACATACCAAACATCCATGCCTTGTGTGGGAGTCGAGCCCACGATCCCGGCTTCCGAGCAAACGAATACAGTACATGCCTTAGACTGTTAGGCTGCCTGACCGGCCCACAAAACAATGTTAAGGGTAATCAAATTAAGGACGATGAGGTGGGTTCGGTATGTAGGACACGAGAGAGAAATGAGGGGTGCATGCAAAATTTTGGTCCGGAAACCTGAATGGACTTATGCACATTTGTAGGTGGGTCGATGATATGAGATCTTATATATATATATATATATGTGTGTGTGTGTGTGTGTACTGGATTGACAGCCTCTGGTCTAGTGGTCAGAGTGCCTGGCTACAGATCCAGAGGTCCCGGGTTCGATTCCCGGGGCTACCAGAGTTTCTGAGAAGTAGTGGGTCTTGAACGGGGTCCACTCAGCCTCATGAGGATAACTGAGGAGCTACATGATTGGGAAAGTAGCGGCTCCGGTCTAGAAAACCGAAATTAACAGCCATGGGGATTCTTCGCGCTGACCACGTGAAACTCTCTATCCGCTAAAGTTAACATTAGCTTCGCCGACAAGCAGAGGTCGCTCGGTTGGTATAGTTCGCTTGCGGACTCAAGCCACTGAGATTTTGTTGTGGACTGGATTCATCTGTCTCAATATAGACTCCAGTGGTCGGCTCATGTGATTGCGGTAATGAACCTTCTGGTTCTATAAACGACATGGAATTTTTAGTAGCCGTTCGGATATTAATTTCTCAAGGACTATATTCCGTGAAGTTAGTTAGATGACTCATAACAATTTAATATTACATTCAACGTTTGTTATAATGACTCTAGCTTGTGACACTTAACAATGCATAACAACAGTGCAAATTAAACCGGCATGTATCTAAGAAACTAACGTTCACATCTCGGCCAGAACATCGGCTGTCCTGACTGAAGTTTTCTTTTCTTCCTTCTGTCCCTCTATCAAAATACGTGGATTCGCTTAGTGGGGGGTTGAGTACAGCTGAATCCATTCGGCACGGCGGCCACTGATTGGCCTATTGTAGCCTGCCCCGGGTGATTATGATGATGGAGAATTTTGGTGGAATGAAGATTGGCAGGGGAAACTGAAGTACTCGGTGAAAACCCGCCCCAGCGCCACTTTGTCCACCACAAATCCCACTTGACCCGGCCCGGGATCGAACCCTGGCCGCCGCGGTGGGAAGCCAGCAACTTACCGCTTGAGCTATGGCGCGGCCTTAAATACCTGGATAGTACCTGTGCATAGGCCTCCACCACCTCCTTTCATTCCTTTCCAATTTATCATTCATCTGTCATTCTATCATTCAAAACTGTATATTCCAGTTACTGACTTCGCTGTGAAGCAACATCCTCAAGCCCCCGATCACGGTGACCACGCGGTCTAAGGCATGAACTGTTTTCCCTCGCTCCAACACTGGGATCGAGGGTTCGAATCCAACTCAAAATA